AGAGAGAGAGAGAGAGAGAGAGAGAGCTTGGCAAAATCAACAAGGAGTCCGGTGGCACCTTAAAGACTAACAGATTTATTTGGGCATAAGCTTTCATGGTTAAAAACCCACTTCTTCAGATGCATGGAGTGCTTGGCAAAACGTCTCTCCCTTTTATCTTGTCCTTTCTTTCCTCTTGACTTTGCCCCCACCCCTTCAGAGTCAGGTGAGCATTACCTCATCACAGTCCCAAACTGACCAAAGGAAGGGGGTGACTCCCTAGAGGATCTAACAGATTCTTTTGTTGCTGCCTAAGCCAGTGTCCTTTGTTCCTGTGAGGCTGGGCTGGGTTTGTCCCATCCATGCCCTGACGGTGTGTGAACTGCCTCTCTGTTCTTGGAGAGTTTTTGCCTGGGCTTGCTTAAGCCATGAGGATACATTTTCAGCCTCATAACTATATACATGAAATTATAACCTATAACCTTACTATAACGTTACTATAACAACAATGCTCAGTGCATCACGAGCCTTCCGAAGACACCCAACCTGACAAACTTTGCATTGGATCCCACACAACCATTTTATAAAGCTGAACATGGGGGTGTAGGGTGTCCCCCCAAGCTCCAGAGGGTCACAGAGTATATGATACACCTGCAGCACTATTGCACAGAAATTTGTGCACCAATGAAGGTACAGCATTTTGTATATTCAGTGGGTGGCATTGCTTGATTGCACAGTTGCCAAAGGTCAAAGTTGTTTCTGAAATTGTGCCTGGTACCACGGCTGGAAATGCAGTTGCCCAATTTGTGCACTTAAACAGGTATACATGCAATCTTGTGCTTGTTAATTTCGGGAGAAAGCTTTTTGAAAGTTTGGCCCAGTATATTGCAATAGGAGTAAATAGGGGGTGTGACTGGACTACCCGCCGCTTTGTGTAGCTACTGTTTATGTTTATTATCTTTCTCTGATCAACTTGCTAGACTTAAGCATGAAAATCCAGAGCTTTGATTTCTAGAAAGTATTCATGGGGTTATTTTAACAATAGTAGCTGCACTTTGATGTCTTTGGTGGGGATGGGGAATTTAATCTCTCTCAGTTCCACATTCACAGCAATAGATATTATGACCTGTCGTGCCTATTTCCTGAAACAATGTTAGTAAAACAATGTTTTATAATGTAAAGCGTTTTTTTCTACTGGGCCAAAAAGTGTGTAAATACAAAAAGCTTCAGTTTGGCACCCAGCACTATGATAAAGCACGTCACGGGTGTTTTGTGATCTGAAATATATGATGGGTTAGAGCTGAAAAATGTAGCAAATATAATAAAAGGTTGCAGCTTGCTAATGAAAAAAACCTGGTGTTCCATCTGTGTTACTGTGTATGCTTGTACAGTGGAGTAGATTTCAGGTTGGCTTTAAAAGCGAATGAATTGTAAAATAATTATGACTGACATTTTTGATACCACAATAGCACCTAGGTGCCTGGAACCCTCTTGTGCTAGGCGCTGTACAAATACATAGTAAGAGAGAGTCCCAGCCCTGTTGAGTTTGCAATCTAAATAGACAGGACAGATCTAGGATGGGAGAAGGAAGGGAATGGGGATTTAGGGCACAGAGAGAAGTGATTTGCCCAAGGTCCCACAGAGAGGGTCTGTGCCAGAACTGGAATCAGCACTCAGGAACTCCTTGCTCCTGGTTCTGTGCTCATCCCAGTCCAGTTTCAAAAGCAAGAGGAAACTTCTTTTGTTTGTCATCGCATTTATGCTGGGGCGGGGGCGTAGAAGAGACTGCTCCTGGTATGATCGTAATGTGCATCTCTTTCTGGAGATGCTCCCATATGCTCCAGCATCCTGCTTGGAATTTCCAGTTGCTATAGTAACAGAAGGCATTTTGTTAAATATCACACCATTGAATTGTTTTGTTGTTCACTGTCAAGGAAACTGGCACTTTTCTCTGATTTTCTGGGCATGGGGTGAAATGGAAGCAAAGGGGAGAGGAAAATGAAAGTTCTGATTCTCCTTTCGGATTCTTTGTCTTTTACCCCAGTGTAACTCCATAAAGTCAGTGGAATTACTCCTGGTCTGCACCTGTGTGTGAGAGGAGAACCTGGTTCTGATTCGCTGATCCATGGCATGTTGGGATGCAAATTTCTTTACTGGGGGCGTTTAATTCATTTTTGATCCTCAAGAGTAAAAACAAAAACCATTTACATGATTTGGAGCCTTGCTCGTTGTTGGCCCATGTCGTCAGACACTCATAACACTGGTACCCCATCCTCCCTCCTCACTTTCCTCCTACTGTTTGTTTTTACTCTTTTTGCCCTGTTTCAAATTAGACTTTAATCTCTTTGGGGCTGGGACTATGTCTCCATATGTCTCCAAATCTGAGCATGGCAGGGCTCAGCTCTGATCTGAGCTGGGGCCCTTGGGGTCCGGTTCTCCAGATGATGTAAAGCAGCGTAGTTCCATTGAAGTGACACAAGCTGAGAATCTGACCCAAAAATATTGAGCTCCACTGAATTCACTGTGGAGTTAACCCCAGGGTGAATTTTGACCCTGCAACTTTCCAGCTGTTGTTGAAGGTGCAAGATGGAAATTGGGCTAAATTCTTCACTGGTGGAACTTCACTGAACTCAGCTCAATGGAGTGACATTAGGGATGGCTTTGGCCATATAAGTTGTGTTTACCCTGAAGTTGACCAAGGGGAAGACAGTCAGCTCTTTGGACATCTCCATGGCCCCATTTCTCATTGAGCACTTACCCTAGCAACACGTTTCCACTTCCCGCAGAGACTACATGGAAAGGTGTAGAGAGGGGAGAGAAAGTCCTTCCAAGGTTTGAAAGAATGAATCAGCTCCTCTCATGGGCAAAGAAAAAAACGGTTGCAAGGAAGGCAGAGCTGGGAACTTACACAGAGAGACAAAATGGCACAGGAATGAGGAAAAGCTACAGCATCCATTACTAGAGATGGACCGGAATCAGAGCAAAGGAGTCAAACACACCAAGACCTAGCTGGAACTGAGATCAGGATCCAGAAGTGAATTTCCAAGCTGTTCCATCCCTATCATGGGCTGAACCGACTATGAGACTTTGGGAAATTTGCCACCTGGTTGCCAACCCTACAGCTCAGGTCTAGCTGTCCCTGGTCCTGCTGAAAACATCACATCCCATTGTGATGTCACCTCAAGTGAATAGATTGTGTGAGGTCACATGCAGATGATGAGGACTATTGTGGTCACCTCTAAGCAGAAGGAATTGTTGCCTTTGGCTAGAATATAGTGTGGGGAGGTTGCCCCTCAGTATCTGTCGCAGTCTCACCTCTTCGAACATGAACAAAGAGCATCAAGTTAGAATGGGATTAAAATGCTGTTCCTTACCCTCTGGCTTCTAACTGCCTTAATGAGAAGCACACATGCAGGTAGGTGGATTATAAACCCTGAGCATTGTCCTCAGTGGGAGCCTGGTTCTGCCCTCGTGTTATAAGTCCCTGTGCTTTGCACCAGCGTGAGTGAGCGGAGAATTAGGCACTGCCTTGTAGGCTGTCAATTCGTTAGCGTCATTCTCCAGCCTCAGCCAGAAACATCATTTCAGCTGCTTGGGCACAGTCTAGGACATCTGTGTTCACAGCCTTAATAGGTGCAATAACTGAGCAATTTTCATAGGCACAATGAGACAGCGAAGTAAAGACCACTGGGTCCAAAGTCTGACTTTATAGCATTTGAAGACAACTGACTTTGGGGGGGTGGGGAAGTTCAAGGTGTTTTTTAAACTATGTGTAATCTTGTCTAGAGTTGTGAGTTACTTTAACCAATTACCCACCTCCAGGTGAGAGTTTACATCTAGGTGAATGTGTGAGCATTCAGCCCCAAGAATGATTGCAGTAGACAGGTTATTAGCAGAAGGGGGACTGCCCTGGGCACAACCAGGACAACACCGTGCTCTTTTATTACTTTTCTTAGCCAGCCGAACATCAATACATGCATTGCAGTCTGGTAAAAGAGAGCGAGCCCAATACAAAACGCATAGAATTGGCACTACTCACACCATGCCTTGCGGAAAAAGCTGGAGCGTTAGCCCCATCATCATCCTCACCATCATCATCCTCACCAAGGCATGCAGTCTGGGACACAGCTTTTATAACGGGTTAAGCTGACACTAGGGTGACCAGATAGAAAGTGTGAAAAATCGGGATGGGGGGAAGGGGGTAATAGGTGCCTAGATATATTAAAAAAAAGCCCAGAATATCGGGACTGTCCTTATAAAATTAGGACATTTGGTCACCCACTGGGGTTCATATGTATTCATGAAGGTTTTTAATTCCCTTTGCTTATTTGAACCTCCACATCCCACTACTTTTGGGTGCCCCGTTTTTTATAGGCAAGCTTGGCTGTTCGCCTTAAGCTCATTAACATTTACAGCTCCTTATGATCACCGTAGTAACAGGCGGTTACCTTAAGTCTCTAACATTTCACCCCAGCTACCAACGGTCATTGTGTATTGTCTGCTGATCTCTTGCAACCATTGCTATCCAAACTCAGCCGTTATTTTCAAAACAGCAGCATATCACAAACATCAACACAAGCTCAGCAAGTTTATTACTCATTTATTTATGCTAGTTTATCGTTATAATATAGCTAATTTATCCTAAGGCCTGATTTGGCTATGCTAAATACTTTACAAGCCTGAGGTCTGTAGGCCCTGTGCTACATACTTATATTTCACCTCTATATCCTAAATATACCTGATAGCTTTTTATTCTTGGCTACATATGTCTATTATTATTTGTATTTTGTTAGCATCGCAGAGTGCCAGCCATGAACCCAGAAGCCCAGTCTGCTAGGTGCTGTACAAATATAGACCAAAAAGACAGCCCCTGCCCCAAAGCAGTTATAGTCTTATTAATTATATTTGCTGTTTGCTTCTTAAACTCATAGATTTCACATGCATCTTCATTTTCATGACAGCTGGACTAACTGGAACAATGTGTTTTAATATAGCTAAATGCTAGGTAATACGTGTAGGAACCAAGGCTCTCGGTCACACAGGATGGAGGAATGAATGTATTTTGGATGCTAGTGACTCAGAAGAGGATTTAGGGATCATGGTATATAGTCAACTGAACATGAGCTCCTAGTATGAAGTAGCGAGGAAGAGAGCAAATGCAAATTCTGTGATGTAAATGCAGGGGACTATCAAGCAGAAATAGGGAGGTGTGATTACCACTGTCTACAGCATTAGTGAGGCCACTTCTGGAATATTGTGTCAATTTCTGATGTCTATACTTTAAAAAATGAAGTTGATAAATTGAAAAGGGGTCGGGAAAAAATCTAGAATGAGTCAAGTTCTGGAAATCCTGCGTTACAGTGATACACTAAATAAACTCAATCTAGTTTGTTTATCAAAGATTAGACTGAGGAGATTTAATCAGGGTTTGTAAGTGCCTACATGAGGGGGGAAATCTGATAGGTCCCAAACAAAGGAGCATGGGCCAATGGATGGAAGCTGAAGCTAGGCAAGATCCGATTGGAACTAAGGTGCACATTTTTAATTTAGAGTAATTAACCATCGGAGCAACTTGCTGTACTTCTGGATATAAATTGCTGCACTTCTGGATGTACTTCTAAGAGAGATGCTTTATCTCAGCCACAAGTGTAGGCTTGATGCAGGATTCCGTTGGTGAAATTATATGTCCAGTGTTATGCAGATGAGAGTGGATAATCATAGTGGTCCCTTCTTTGGCCTTAAAATCTGTTCGTCTGTGAATCCCATGTTGTTCTCATCATTCTGCTCACGTGGCATCTAAGACACCAAGAATTTCAGACCCAAACACCTCCTAACTTTGCAGGAATTCAAAATGTAAACCTGGATTTAAAATTTGCAAATATCCTGTCTCTTTATAAAGGATGACCCAAACCCCAGGATACAAACCCTCTCCCCTACTGCTTGTAACTTTGGGGTGCTTGAAATCCCGATCCAAAGGTTGTTTCTTGTGCCCATCTCTAAAGACCCAAAGTGATTCTGTCCCTTCTGAGTTAGGTGCGTCACTGCAGAAAATAAACCCTGGGCTTCATTGCCCTCTTACATGATGTAAGTCAGGAAAAACTCCACTGAGGCCAAGAGAGAGACAACAGTGTAGAACTGGTGTGAACATAGAATGGGGCCCCGTGGGTGGTTGTATCTGTTTTGCAGACGGATTTGAAGTGACCTGTATCCAGACACACAGTGCGCTGCCTTTTGCTTTTAGAATGTGGCCTCAGACCCTCTTACAAACCATCCGCACTGAAAGAGTCAAAGACCGTAGGGGGCACGGGTGAGTTCCCCTGGCAAGTGAGCATCCAGACCAAAGAGAAGCATTTTTGCAGCGGGTCGATTATAAGCAGCTGGTGGATTTTATCTGCGGCACATTGTTTCACAAATGAACTGTGAGTACTGGGGGGCTGGGGCGGGGTTGGGGTTCTCATTGCAGCTGTTGAGTAGCGGCAACACCAGGCAGGAAGCAGTCCTCAAAGAAAGTGAGTCAGTCACATTAGCTAGGGAGAGACAAGGAAATAAGTTTATGCCACATAGAAACTTTCCACACCTCCAGCCCCCACCCTCCTCCAGCTCCATGATGTAGGGATGGAGAACCTCACTGCACCACCAGACCACATCTCTGACCACGCTGACCTCAGCTTAATCAACTGTGAAGCCTTTGCTACCCTACCTTCTGGCTGCTCTCAGGGGGCAACTATTATTAGGTCAGATTCACCTCTTTCCTGCAACGTATCAAGCTAGGTAATAATAACAGGACGGTGTAATTTACACCCCCTCCCTCCATCAAAAGCAAGGGAGAGTGCAGTGAGCGCACCAGCCAGCAGACGGTGTTTCAGGAGTCAGGGACGTTCGGAGAGAAGAATCCATCCTCTCCCTCGTCCCCTGATCTGGTCTGGTGAGGAGACATTTCCCAGCCCCACGTTGGAAGCCGGGGATGAAGCATCTGCCTCAACCAGCCGCCTCTTATCTCCTGGGAGGAGGAAGCAGCAGGTCTCTTGGTGCTTCTCACCTTATCCAAACAGAGAGGAGAAAAAGATCACCAGGGTGGGATTCGGAGAAGCCCAAGTACCCTGGCCTCAAATACCAGTGATGCGGCTGAGTGGTGGCCCCGTGCACATCCCTACTTTTGTCATCATCACACTCTTGCCAATAGGACGAGCTAGCGCGCTTTAGCTCCACCCACCTCAAATCCCGTCACGATCCCTGTTAGGGTAACAGTGCTCGTCAATAGCCCTTTGCGCTTGTAAAGTCCCTTCCATCCAAGGATCTCAAAGCACGTTACAAGCCAACTATCATTCTCAGTTTACAGGTAGCCCGAGGTCATAAAGGAAATCAGTTTCAGAGCTGCCTGTAGAACTCCTTACTCCCAACCCCCTGTTTTCACTATTAGCGCTGCTGTCTTCCTGCAGCCTGCCTGGCTTCCACATGAGGCGCGTGATGTGCGGTGCTGGGCAAAAACTTTGCACGAAAATTAGGACGCCTTCCCAATGGAAGTGTCATTGCCCTTTGGTGAGAAATCAAACATGGCTCTGCTCTTGCACCAACAAAAACCAAAACAATGGTGTTTACTCAAAATTAAACAGCCCCATAGCCCAAGCTTTTTTTCCAGTGGAAAAAGAGCAAATAACTGCACACAGATTAGGAGTGTGCTAGGTGCTGCACAAAGATAGTGAGAGATAGTCCCCGCCCCGAAGTACCTCCAACCAGATGGACAAAACAAAGGGTAGGGGGGAAACAGAGGCACTAAAAAGGGGGTGCTCTTGGCCTAAGTTCATACAGCAGGTCAGGAAAACGGATGGTCCAATGGTTAGGTCTAACCTGGGACTTGGGAGACTGAGGTTTACTTCCCTTTTCTGCCACAACTTCCTCTGGGACCTTGAGTAAGTCACTAAATACCTGGTCCTGCTGTACTACAGTCAATGAGCACAAGACCTGCCCCATAGTCACTCTGTGCCTTGGTTACCCATCTGTGTAGTGGGGATGACAGCACGTCCTGTCCTCACCAGGGTGTTGGGAGGATAAATCTATTACAGATTGTGAGGCACTCTGATACCATGGTGATGGGTGCCAGATGATACACATCTAGTGACAGAGCCTGAAACATTTTGAGCAAAACTAGGCCCATTTTCGAACAAGGGTGAATTACCCCCTTTCTCCACAAGTACTCCCAAAGAAATCAGTCTGGCTCCTCCTGGAATAAGGTGCTACTCCCTGTGAGGGAGGGAGGCAGAATCCAGCCTTTTGTGAAAACGGTTTCGCAATGCTGCCAGCTCTAGCAATGCGGATGGGTTTCCACGGCCTCTTTGGCTACCCCAACCCTGCGATATGCAGAGTGCTTTGAGCTCCCTCTCCGAAGAAGGGTGTCCCCTCCCCCATCTTTGCAGAATGCCTTTGCTCCCCTTGTTCACGCTTTGTCTCCATTTCGTTACTAAGTCCACCAGATCTGTACGTGGCGTTTGGGGCAGTTGACTTGGAAAGCCACCAAGTAGAGAAGAAAAAGCTGGACAGGCTGATTCTGCATGAGCACTTCGATAGCGCAAACATGGACAACAACATCGCCTTGATCCTGCTCGACTCACCGATAGGGTTCAGTGAACAGAAAATGCCCATCTGCTTGCCTTTCATTCATGACCTTCAGACGTGGAAGGACTGCTGGGTTGCTGGTTGGGGAGCCACGGCGGCAGGTACTGTACTGTGTGGGGGAAGGGGAGTATTTGCCAATGAAGTCTGCATTCACTTACTTTAAAATAACCCCCCTACAGCGAAACGAGGGATGGGTGTACGTAGCCCAGGCAAGAAGCTCTGGTTTCAGCCAGCCTGCAGTGGCCATTCCTCTCAGCTGGGCAAGGCCCAAATCAAATATACATGACCTTGGGAGCACCCCCAGGCCCTGTGAGTTTGGAAGGGAGGCTGTGATGGCAGCCTGCTCTCACTACGGCTGGAGATAACATGGTAGGTGTGTCAGGAGGAGTGGGGGTTGGGGGAGGGAGGAGATGAAGGTGAAAGCTGCTAGGCACCCAGTCTAACCCTTAGAAAGAGCAGCCCCCTCTCCAAATTACGACACCAAGGTTCCTTCACATACAGCAGCTCCCCTCAGTTTGAGGCCCTGCTCTCCAGTGCAAAGGGCAGCCCCCTCCCCGCCTCCAACAGGAGACACTTCCCACCTTGTGAAGATAGACAGCTCCAACTGGAGACCACGAAGGCCCCAATTTTCAGTCCCAAGAACTAGACACACAACAGATTTGGCTGGGATGCAGGTAAATCTGGGCCTAAATTGTGAGCTGTGGTTCGTAATGAAGGGGAGTTGAGAGCTAGGACCGTCCTGGGTGAAAATATGTTCACAGGCTGATTGTTCCCATGGATTCCAGCCTCTTCGCTCGTCTTCAGCTGGAGGGACTGATTTAGGCGGACGGGATAAAACTGCGTAATGGCCCAGTTTACCCTCTGGTGAAATCCCACTGAAGTAACAGAAGCTACATCAGGACTGAATTTGGCCCAATATTCCTTGCTTGGTTAAACAGCGATGAAGAGTGATCATGAGTAAATATTTGAAAGGCTTACTCAAGAAAGGAGACCATTTGGGTAGGATGGCACCAACCCAGGTTATAACAGCCCCATACACTCTACTGGAGCCTGTTGTCCCGGCCAAGTCTTCTCTCTGAACTCCCTCTTTATGTAGTAGAGGGGCTGTATTTTCCTTGCTATCCCTTTTGCCCCCATAAACCATATTATCCTATTTTACTTTGCTGCCTCTGTGGTAACAGGCGCATAGAAGCAGAAAGGCCGAGCATGAGAGCAGACGAATGTTGGGCACATACGGGGGTTTTCTGGGAGTTGTAGTAAATAGAGGGGGTGAGTTCCCTGTGGGTTATTCACTTGTTGTTTTGGGGAATAGGGGCTTCCTCGATGTTTTGTTCTTGTGTTAGCAGGTTTCTTCAGCAGCAGGTCTTTATTCAGCTGCCTCGCTAAATGGCCAGAAGGGGGCAGTGTTTTCAGTCTCATTTCTCCTAGCGGGGTGCTAGTCAGCCTCTGTACAGCCTGGCTGGCAAAATGCCGAGTTAGCTGAGCTCCCATACGGACTCAGAGCGCACACTGGGGTCCATGAAGAAGGTGAAGTTACAGTGCCCTAGGAGGCTCTCCCTTGAACATACCGGTGTAGGAAGCTTGCTGGGGACAACCCCTAGTGCCCAGCACTTTGGGTGCTGCCAGTGGTACTGCCACCAATAGATCAGCCTGGGAAAGCTGATGTAACTTTGGAGAGTCCCTTGGAAGCTGAAATTATGCCAGAAACTATTTTGGCCCCAAGAGCAGCCCGGAATCAGAAGGACACAAGACTGGCATCAAACCACTTCTCCCATCCCTCCCACAGGGAGGCAAGGTTTGTCTTGGAAGAAGCACTGTATAGCTTCTGCAGACGTAAGGCACTTGCACTATTGTGATAAGGGCCATGTTAGTATCTAAAGAGACCCAGGTTCCTCACTGCACTGGGACTCAAGGGAGGTGATCTTCTCTGTTCAGGGACTGTGGGGTCTGGATCACCCCCAGTGCAAACTACGGCAGCTCTAGGGGTACCCTCAATTGTGCTTCCCTCTGCTATAACTTCTCTGAGGCTTTCAGCAGCAGAGGCTTTCAGCAGCACCTGCCCCAGCACGCTCTCCATCCTCCCCCCACCTCCACTCCATCTCCAGCCTATCCCACAAACAGCCCCCTGCACTGGGAGGTGGAACAGGGGTGGGGGTGGGGGTGCATTCACTGGGGAGCCTTGTAGCCACATTGCAGCTAATGGCCATAGCGTAGTGATGACCCCTTGCCCACCTCCCCCAGCAAAATTCCTCAGACCGGTTTGACACTGGTGTCACTCCATTGACTTGAGCTCTGATTTACCCCAACATCACTGAGAGCTGAATCAGACCCTTCCATCATACAGAGGCACAAACATCTGCTGGGTCAAATTCAGGGCTACACACTGCCCCTTGGCCACACTGGGTTCCCGTGTTGTGCGGGGAGGGGAGGAAGGATTCACAGCCTGGGGGCCAATTTTGGGCCCAGCTTTAACTTTAACCAGGTACTTATAAGATCTCCCAGCATGCACTTGGGAAGAGCTAATTAGGAGGGGCATGTGTCTCCTGCCCTGAGTGAGTCACTTACAGCTGACATGCCTCCCACTGTGGCATCTTTAAAGGGCCTTTCTCTTCCTTTGCTCCTGATGGGTTCTGAAGGCGAACGTGGGTTAAAGGAATCTACTTTTCTTGTAGCCATGAATATTTCAGGCCTTTTCACGGCTCCTTGGGAATTTGGTTCATGCAAACATTTTCTGGTTTCTTTTTGCATAGGAAGTTTACTAACATGGATTCTAACAGTTTGCTAACAGGGTTTTCAAATCTATTTGCCACTTAGTAAGAGAAAACGGTGATGAGGCCTTCAGGGTCTTGGAGATGCCTCGAAGGCACCAAAGGACAAGCAGGGCTGATGTCTAGACCTTGATCGTCTCTTGTTCGGAGAACATAGTGACCATTCAATTTACTTTGCTATTTTGTGATTCTGTGACCTGCCACTTAGCCCCGTGGTGAGTCTAACAATAGACTCTAGATGCTGAGTTGGGGCTTAGCGACCAGTCAAGTGCAATTCATTGCAGAACATCACAAAGAAGAAAAGAGGGTGCTGGCCCTTTAAGGGCCAAAAGAGGCTTTCCTCAGCCAAAATCTAGAGTTGAACCATGGCTTGTTTCAGCCAGGCCTCAAAATGGAGTCTACTGCTTACCACCCCAGAATTTCCCAATGGCCAGTTCGCAGCCAGCCACAGGAATCTACCCAACCATCACCCGGCTTTTCTAGGGTTACATCATTACCAAAGCTGGCCCAGGCCTGTTACTCTGGAGATCCCTAGTCTCAGAAAAAGACAGTTGTGGTTTTCCTTCAGATCAGAGGCAGAAGTTCAACTCCCTCCCTGCCAACATCTAGACAGCCTCAATAGACCCTGCCACAGGATCATGCGCTTACTCCTGCTCCTCTCAATTCGCCTTAGAGTCGATAACAATAATGAGCACTTATAAAAGCTTGGCCTCAAATGTCTTTGTAGAAGAGGATGGATTTTTGTTTGTTTCTCCTTCATCCCTGTTTAACTCAAGTGCAATACAATCTGTTGTCTCTTATACTTAGCTTGGAAGCTCCTCGGGGGAGGGACAGTCCATTTGTTCTGTGTTTGTACAGCACCTAGCACAATGCGGTCCTGGCCCATGACCGGGGCTCCAAGGCACTACAAATAACTAAAGAAGAAGACAAAGCACAAGAAAGGATCTTTGTGAAAGCTTCAGCATTTCTACCCTTTCCACCGAGTGCTGAGAAATCTCCGGTCAATGGTCCTCCAAAACGTTCTCCAGCAAAAAACAGGAAAAATTGGTGTTCCTAAGAAAAAAAGACAAGCAGAATTTTAAATTAGCTACAGCACTAAGAAGACAAAGCACAAGTGCCATTGGTTTGTGGTTTCACCCAAGAATCCCTGGACTGAATGGACAACAGAGAGTGAAATGCCATCTCCCCAGAGACCCTCAGGGCTGGGAAACATTGAAAGGGTGGCTTGGGGAAGCTTGCTCTGCTCTCCTCCCTGTTTTATAATGAAAGGGTGAAAGTCACACCTGCACGGCTTAAGGCTTGTGCTGCCCCCTCTACACATGAGTGAATTTCACCTGACGCACCCCTGTGTTCACACCCTACACACTATTGTAACAATCTTTGTGCACAATAGGCCTTGTGAGGTATCCTTTGAAAACGAATAGCTCACTGATCATTACTATTCTTGTCTGCATGCAGTGGGTACTGAGAGTTATAGATGCTGGAACTAGAACTAAAGTGGGTGCAAACAAGGTGTGTCGGGGGTGTTGTTACTCGGGGCTGTCCCACCAAGGAATGTGTATTTACCTCAATTTACATAGAAAGAGAGTAAACAGACCCATCAAGCTAAGAAGTGTGGGGCAAGAGACTCCATGGCTACACCCCAGCAGGGAAGAGAGACTCTTTCTCTGAGATACTTAGGGCTTGGCTACACTTGCCAGTTAGAGCACATTAAAGCAGCCCCAGGCGCCCTAACTCACGACCCATCCATGCCTCGGCTGAAGTGCCCGGGCGTCAGTGTGAATGAGGTGTTGCATTACTGCGCTCTGATCCGCCTCCAGAAACGTCCCATAATCCCTTTAAGTCAAGTGGCCACTCTTGTCATTGTTTTGGAATCGGCTGCAGGAATGCGGATATGCCCTTTCAAAGCTCCGTTTCTGACAACCGGGTGCTTATCTGCTCCGGGACAAAGAAACCATTACTGTGGAATGCTGTTTGCTGTGAGTGTGTGAGAGAGAGCAAGGCGGGGGGGGGGGGGAAGGGGGTCTGCTGCTGTCTGAACTTACCAGAGAGCATGCTGACACGCTCTCAGCCCCCCAAAACCCACGCTCTCTCCCCCCACATACACACAACACACTCCCTGTCACATTTGAAAATCACATTGCAGCCACTTGCATGCTGGGATAGCTACCACAATGCACTGCTCTCTGTGGCCATTGCAAGAGCTGCTAATGGGGCCACGCCAATGCGCTTGAATTTGACAGTGTGAACACACTGCAGCGCTTTCCCTACTGCGCTCTCCGAGGGCTGGTTTAACTCCCAGCGCTCTACATCTGCAAGTGTAGCCATGCCCAAAGACAGAGCGGGCTGAACCTCAAGTGATAAGCAACTGATTGTATACAATATTACTGTCTTATCAGGGTGCATAGAGTGAGATCTTTTCAGCAAGCTAATGACACGCTGGTGATTAATATCACTGTGAAATGTCCATAGGAACACTATGTGAGGAATTATGAATACTCACTGATACTATGTTTGAAAGTGTGTGGCCAAACGAAGGAAGGAGGAGTTCCCACCCCGACAGGAGGGGGGGCAGCTATTTACCTGTCTCCTGTGTAAAATAAGCATGGCAGAATCAAATCAATGGAAGCCCCATTTACATGCAGGGGGATGGGAAGCCGGCAGCATGGGAAGAACAGCATGAGGCCAGCTTCCTGGTGGTGACAGCAAGCTGAGCACACAGGAGAGCTTCCTGCCTCCTGCAGCAAGGCATTGAACTTTGGGAGGTATAAGGGAGGACAGAAGACACCTTTGGCATCCATCAAGGGAACAGAGAGCTCTTGCAAGCTGAGAAAGATGGGGTCCTTCCATCAAGGGGGGAAAGGTTGAAGACTCTGGAACTGAAAATAAGTGAGAAACCTGCTTAGGCAAAGATCTTTCCCCTAGGAAGACAAGGGAAGCCAGCGTCGTGTATTCTTGTGCAAGGTCCTGACTGAGGGAAAGTCAGCCCTGGCTGGGAAGAAGGAAGATTGGTGAAAGAAACCACCTGTATCTTTGTAGATCAAGACGTAGCCTTTTAGATGCTTGTTTTCACTTGTATTTGCTTCTAACCCTTGCTAACTTGCTTCCTTTTATTTAGCATCACTTAACGGATTGTTAATAGATTTGTCTTATTTTACTACAAACCAGCTCAGTGTGAAAACAACAAGGAGTCTGGTGGCACCTTAAAAACTAACAGGTTTATTTGGGCATAAGCTTTCAGATGCATCTGAAGAAGTGAGGTTTTTACCCATGAAAGCTTATGCCCAAATAAACCTGTTAGTCTTTAAGGTGCCACCAGACTCCTTGTTGTTTTTGTAGATACAGACTAACACGGCTACCCCCTGATACTTGACAGCTCAGTGTGGTGTTTAAGGGAAAGGGTGTATTCCCCCCAGTTAAGTGAATAAGCTGAGGCGTGGTTTTGTGTCTTTAAATGAACAAATGAACCTATTATTTCCCAGACCTGTCCAGGAGCAGGCTGGACATTACAGAGCACAAGGTTTGGGGTAAGTTCGGGACTGGGAGTGTGTTGGGGTCACCTTGCTGGTTGTAACCAAGGCTGGTGGAAGTCAAACTGGGGCTGTAGCCAGGGTGCTGGGGTCAGAGCTGCTGACGCAGGGCCGTCTACACACAGACCCTCAGGGTGCAACCTGCATGCCGGTAGGCTGGCTGGGAGCATCCCAGGCAGTGAGTTAGAGCAGTAAAGCATTGTGAGGGTTACAGGGCAGGTGGTGACACAACCCCTCACTGCTCTGGATTGCACTCCCACACATGAAACACACAAAGAGGGGACTTCACTCTCCAGGACTCTAATGCGCCACAGTTACTGTTTCTTGGGGAGGGACCTCGACGGTCTCTCTCAGCTGGAGGTCAAAGAAGCTTGCACTTGTCAGGAGCTCTAAATTCAGTAATTCTGCAGCTGAGTAACCTACTGGGCCAAACTCACTCTTCTTCTAAGTCGGGGGTGGGCAAACTTTTTGGCCTGAGGGCCACATCTGGGTATGGAAATTGTAGGGCGGGCCAGGAATGCTCACGAAATTGGGGGTTGGAGGACGGGAGGGCTCCGGCTGGGGGTGCAGGCTCTGGGATGGGAATGAGGGGTTGGGGGTGCACGAGGGTGCTCTGGGATGGGACCAAGGGGTTCAGTGGGTGGGAGAAGGATCAGGGCTGGGGCAGGGGGTTGGGGCATAGGAGAGGATCAGGGCGGCAGGCTCCAGAAGGTATTTACCTCAAGCAGCTCCCAGAAACAGCGGCATGTCCCTCCTCCGGCTCCTATGCGGAGGTGCGGCCAGGCGGCTCTGCGCGCTGCCCTGTCCACGGGCACCACCCCTGCAGCTCCCATTAGCAGCGGTTCCCAGCCAATGGGAGCTGCAGGGGCAGCACCTGGGGCAGGGGCAGCATGCTGAGCCCTCTGGCTGCCCCTATGCGTAGGAGCTAGAGTGGGGACATGGTGCTGCTTCTGGGAGCCCGTGAAGAGTGGGGCAAGACCCTGACCCCGCTCCCCGGCTGGAGCGCCAGAGCAGGGCAAGCCCTGGACGCCGCTTCCTGGCAGGAGCTCGGGGGCCGGATTAAAACGTCTGGCGGGCCGGATGTGGCCCCCAGGCCGTAGTTTGCCCACCCCTGTTCTAAGTCGATGGAGATTTGTTACGTATTCATTTGCCCCAAGTGCCTGTTCTGCTCCCTGCGTTGCTTTTATTTGTCTAATTGGTACTTACAGCCCTTGCTTCCTCTTCAGAGCAGTGCTAGCTAGGTAACCCTCCCATAGCAGCAGCCTGTTTAAGGGCATAGACGGGGCGGCTCATCTAGGTGCTTATCACCACCAAGGATTTCTGCTGCAGTGATTGCCTCTGCATCCCCTCTGGGGGGCTGTGGTTGGAGACCCACAGTCTAGCCGGAGGGTCGATATGCCCTTGCTGTGATCTGACTCACTAAGTGATTGGGCAACGAAATGGCAAATGAAATGTAATGTGGATAAATGTAAAGTAATGCACATTGGAAAAAATAACCCCAACTATACATACAATATGATAGGGGCTAATTTAGCTACAACGAGTCAGGAAAAAGATCTTGGAGTCATCGTGGATAGTTCTCTGAAGATGTCTGTGCAGTGCGCAGAGGCGGTCAAAAAAGCAAACAGGATGTTAGGGATCATTAAAAAGGGGATAGAGAATAAGGCTGAGAATATATTATTGCCCTTATATAAATCGATGGTACGCCCGCATCTCGAATACTGCGTACAGATGTGGTCTCCTCATCTGAAAAAAGATATAGTGGCACTAGAAAAGGTTCAGAAAAGGGCAACTAAAATGATTAAGGGTTTGGAATGGGTCCCATATGAGGAGAGATTAAAGAGGCTAGGACTCTTCAGCTTGGAAAAGAAGAGACTGGGGGGGGATATGATAGAGGTATATAAAATCATGAGTGATGTGGATAAGGAAAAGTTATTTACTTATTCCCATAATACAAGAAATAGGGGTCACCAAATGAAATGAATAGGCAGCAGGTTTAAAACAAACACAAGGAAGTTCTTCTTCACGCAGCGCACAGTCAACTTGTGGAACTCCTTTCCTGAGGAGGTTGTAAAGGCTAGGACTATAACAGCGTTTAAAAGAGAACTGGATAAATTCATGGAGGTTAAGTCCATTAATGCCTATTAGCCAGGATGGGTAAGGAATGGTGTTCCTAGCCTCTGTTTGTCAGAGGATGGAAATGGATGGCAGGAGAGAGATCACTTGATCTTTGCCTGTTGGTCCAATCCCTCTGGGGCACCTGGCATTGGCCACTGTCGGTAGACAGGATACTGGGCTAGATGGACCTTTGGTCTGACCCGGTACGGCCGTTCTTATGTTCTTATGTTATGACTCCAGATATTTGAATTGTATTGTTTTAGATTGTTCCTTAACCACCCCTAACCCCTACGCACACAATCTCTCTCTCCTCTCTTTCTCCGGCTAGGGGACAAGATGAAATTAACCAAGAGGCTAAAGAAAATGGAGATGAAGCTGATCAGCAAGAAGCAATGCTCCGAGTGGCTCCCGGAGCTAACGGAGAACATGCTGTGCGCTGGCTCCGTGGAAGGAAGGAAGGATGCCTGCCAGGTAAAGTAAACAAGCGCCCGCAGGCCCGCGCTGCTGACGTCAGCAGAAAGAAATCACGACGGAAGCTGATTTGCTATGGTAATGAACATTGATCCCTTCCGCAGCTCCCTGGGGTGGCTGATGTTTCACTGCATGTGTTCAGGGCATGAGACTCCAAAGAGTGCAGCCAAGGAACTGGCAGAATATCTTGGTGCCTAGTTAAAAAAGGATATTGAACAGGACAGCCAGGGTGCGGGGCTCCTTGGGTTAGCAGGTGCTTGCAGTGCTGCAGAAACAACCCGCTCCGTTCCACGGAGGACACTGCGCCTTGCATTCTTTTAAGCCATCCCCCATCTGTCACTCCAGGAGCAGAACTCATGGAGCGGTTTTCACCCTCCTCAGCTAAAAAGAGAGGTGGACTTGTTGCAGGGTGTTGGAAGGGGCATGGACAACCAAAAGGAGAAAAAATGAGATGATCTCAGACTACCCCTTCCCAGAATTATATATTACATAGGGAGGAGTAGCTTGGACGGCTCCGGGGACTGGGAATGTGAGACGGAGCTGGTTGTGTCAAAGCAGCTGGTTCAAACCAAAAGCAAGTTCAGGCCAAGAGTTGTTACTATCTGCTGGCTGGTCGGTGGCTGATGTGACAAGGAGTGTGGTGGTGGTCTCAGGTCCTGTTAGTATGCCAGTATATTTATATGCCAGCAGCGCCCCTAGTGTAGATGCAGCATATGCTGGCAGAAGGAGTTTTCCTCCTGCCCTGTCTACACAACCTGCCTGACCAACGTTAGCTATGCTGACAAAAGTACGCTTGGGTCAGCATAGCTGCATCTACACTGGGAGCTTTAGTCATGTAGCTATGTCGGGCAAGGGGTGGTGGTTTTTTCTTGTTGTTGATTTCCACCCTCTGAGTGGGTCTAAGCTTGGCAGTGGAGATCGGGCCTCAGTCCAATTCCCATAGACAGGACATGACGGTCTCTTATTGTGATACAGAAAGACAGCGTATGAGGTGTGAGGGGAGAATTGGCTTCTGCACCAGTGGTAACAAATGGAGAACGCCTCTCCCGCTCCTATGGTCAATGCTGCAGAAGACATAAGTGTGTCTAAATCCCAGAAGGGTGTAAACACCAAGGGGTGGGGATTGGTTAGGTTTGTCCGGAGGGGTAGGGGGGTAAGAGCAGAAGAAATGGGAAGAAATTCAGTAAAGGAGAGTTCAGGCTGAATATCAGCAACCCTCCTCATAGGGAAGTCAGTCCAGCTCTGAGTGCACAAGGCTTTGACACCACAAAAACACCAGCACAACTGGCAACAGTGAGACAGCCACCTCCGTCCTCTTGATGGCTCTCCCAGTTTGAGGTATCAAGACGGAAAGAGCCACGGAGACTGGATGACTCTGCCATCCGTAGAAGCAATGCTTCCAGTTCAGGGTTGAGTCACATTGAAAGCGTCGCATGGGTCAGCTTTGCTTTGAGGAATCATTCTTTGGAGAGACGGAGGACTGCAGTCTCCAGAGCTGTTCATCTGTCCGCTTTCACCTCCGTGAAATTCCCTTCAAATTTTTAAAAAGAAAACTGCCGTGGGGTAGCATTCATATCATTAAATACTGCCCTTGTCTATTCTTGCCATAAGTTGCGCATTTGATTTATGCTATTGCCACAGCTAGACTATCCGTACCAGCATAATGAATCTCATGTAGCCAAAAAGTTGACTAGGTCTTTATTTTGATCTATAATACGCTCGAGTCTAGTGAGAAATGAGTTAGTAATGTGGAACTGAACAGAAAGTGCCGGCGTACAAGAAAACGTTCCCCAGGCCCTGACTCACGTGTGTGAAATGCCGGGAGTCTGGAGATTAACATGAGCCCAATGTTCTGACTACTGCCCATCTTCAGCGCAAGGTTGGCAGGTTACTAATGTGGCTCGGCCAGGCAGAAATGTGTTGTAGCTTGAAACTGTGGGAAAACCCTAGGCGAGGAACTAGAGCTGGTGGCAAAAAATCCGATGAAATGCTTCTACATTGGAATTTGCCAATTTGTCCAAACTGAAATGTTTTGCAGAGATGGTTCAGTTTCGATGAAGTTCCTACCAACCGGCCTGCCTGGCTGGTAAACCAGTGGGGAGATGAGAGCCTGGAATCTCTGGGAACCCCAGCTCCTAGACTCCTGGCTTCTCTCCACCTTGAGTTTCTAGGGTCCCTGGCTCCAGGGAAGCCCACAAGGCAGAGTGCCCCAGAGCCAGGGCTCCATTCTGTTTTGCGGAAAATTTTGAACTAGCAAAATCTTCTGCCAAATGGAATTGCCTTTCTCTGCTCCGCTCTAGAAGCAACCTAAACTAGGACGTGGACAGCAGCGCTGCAGTAACATGGATTGGCCCCTGTCCAAAAGGGGTAGGAACTCATGAATCTGGAATTTGTGTTTAAACCTTGTTTTGTTCTTTGAGCCCCAGTATGGATGGGGCCTAGTAAACTTAGAGCAGAGAGGAGGGGAAAGGATGGTATCTCATGGACTCATTCTCATTGTCATGAAAGGGTTCTGGGTGCTGTCCAGGTGCATGGTAGGGAAGCCCTCTAATCTGTCACATTTAGAGATGGGCTGGACCCAAAATCCTGGATCCAAACACCTCCACACATTGGGGATGTTCGGGTCTGGATATTCCAACTGCTGAGATAACAAAGCCACATATGCGTAGCACAGGAAATGGTACACTTCTCTGTCTGCCTCCTCACAATGTTGTATGTTCCTGCACCCTCCTGGATGGATAATCCCAAGCGTGTACTACCCTGGCTCTCCATCTTGTATTACAACATAATAGTATAATAATAATTAATGGAGATATCCCATCTCCTAGAACTGGAAGGGACCTTAAAAGGTCATTGAGTCCAGCCCCCTGCCTTCACTAGCAGGACCAAGTACTGATTTTGCCCCAGATCCCCTAAGTGGCCCCCTCAAGGATTGAACTCACAACCCTGGGTTTAGCAGGCCAATGCTCAAACCACTGAGCTATCCCTCCCCCCCAACTTACACATCACAGGCCGCTTTGTTATTCGTGATCACTGTCATGAATGTGGACATTTTAAGGAGGGGGCCTCCGCGAATGCTAATACAAAACCTTTACACTACTGACTGCTAGAAAGTGTATGTGACTATAACAGGCTTTGTCGGGGCAAACTATAGAGAATCTCATCTGTTATGCAGCGACAGAAGCATAACTATTCCGTGGGTTGTGGATGGTGTCTCTCTAATATTCCAGGGAAGATTCAGTAGTGAATGTCCCAACTATTTTTACCTTTAAAAAAATCAATTCAATTAAACAAATCTATTGAACACCAGCTACTTAAAGGTTCTTCAGACATCTACAGAATGGCTTTGAATGAATGCTAATAGAATCTGTAATTGACTGGCTCTATTTAGCCGTAAATACTGGCATTCACAGATGATCAAGGTACACATACACTTCAGAACAGGCTGTATAGATTTCCTGAGTGGTTCGTATGTGGTACTTTTCTTCTATGACCCCTGAATTACATATTGGGTTTAGTTCCCTGTTTTCTTAAGCACCCTTTGTTAGATTCTGAAGCAAAGAAAATGATTAGGGGGCTGGGGCACATGACTTATGAGGAGAGGCTGAGGGAATTGGGCTTGTTTAGTCTGCAGAAGAGAAGAGTGAGGTGGGATTTGATAGCAGCCTTCAACTACCTGAAGGGGGGTTCCAAAGAGGATGAAGCTCGGCTGCTCTCAGTGGTGGCAGATGACAGAACAAGGAGCAATGGTCTCAAGTTGCAGTAGGGGAGGTCTAGGTTGGATATTAGGAAAAACTATTTCACTTAGGAAGGTGGCGAAGCACTGGAATGCGTTACCTAGGGAGGTGGTGGAATCTCCATCCTTAGAGGTTTTTAAGGCCCGGCTTGACAAAGCCCTGGCTGGGATGATTTAGTTGGGGTTGGTCCTGCTTTGAGCAGGAGGTTGGACTCGATGACCTCCTGAGGACTCTTCCAACCGTAATCTTCTATGATTCTATGAAAGGCATTAACAACAATTAACGTCTTTAAGGGCTTTAACTCACAGGGAAAATGCTTGCTAAATTCCTTGCTTATTTAGTGAGCATAAGAACATAAGAATGGCCAGACTGGGTCAGACCAGTGGTCCATCTAGCCCAGTAGCCTGCCTTCTGACAGTGGACAGTGCCTGGTGCTTCAGAAAGAATGACCAGAACAAAGCAATTGTCGAGTGATCCATCCCCTGTCGTCCAGTCCCATCTTCTGGCAATCAGAAACTTAGGGACACCCAGAGCATAGGGTTGTGTCCCTGACCATCCTGGCTAATAACTGTTGATGGATTTATCCCTCAATGAAGATTTGGGAAATGTCCCAGTTATATTTTTGGAAGGTTTCTGGAAAGGAGAGGAGCTGGATAGGGCAGTGCTTTGGCAAATGGAACAGAGAGCTGTTTACTTTGACGTCAGTTCAAATCTTATTCAGATCATAACTGAAGGAATGATGATCTTATGGATAAGGCATTGGATTGGGACCCAGGACAGCACTGTTTGACTCCAAGCGTGACTCTGGGCAAACGTCTGTGTACCTTAGTTTGCCATCTGTAAATTGGGGGTAATATTCCTATATTGGTGATTTATGGTGTAAGGTCTTGGGGGGCAGGGACTGACTCTACAGTGCCTGACACACTGGGGCCGCTACTCACTACTGAAATACAAATTATAATAACAAATGTTGTTCCCATCTCGTGGCTAGTCTATGTGAAGTGGTGGGTCTCAGTCGAGTTCGCCAGGACCAGGCAGTCAGATACCCTGGTGATGAATGCAAGCTCACCAAACAGCATCATCACAGCTGGCCAGCTGTTGGCAATGTCAGCAGGGAGGCCCAGGTCTGAGCAGTCCATGGAGTCTAATCTGCCCTCTTACCCCAAGCACACAGTTCGGTGGCTTGGTGGTCTAACGCTAACATTCTTGCTTTGTGTCTTTGTGGTCATGAGTGCTAATCCCTCCCACAAGTGGCAAAGACCC